AAAAAAAAAAAAAAAAGCACGGATAGTCTGATAAAAGGAATAGCACATCGTGTCCTTGCTCTGAGGGCTTTGCTTTGGATAGTCAGCAAACAGCATATAATTCACAAAACCCTAGATTTTTCCATTATTATTCTTCAATAAATTATGAAAACCCTTATAGAAGAAAAGGGCATTGCTGGGAAGGCTGGTGAATGGACAATGTGAGTGTGTAAAAATGATATATAATATGTGTAAAATGCTATATAAACCAGACCATGACTACAGAACAGTAAAACAGCAAATAAATATAAAGTGGAGTTACAGTACACTACAGTAGCCAACTTCTCCTAAACACTCTTCATAGCATACTTGGCTTTTTTTTTATTCACAGTGATGTGTCACTGAAAACACRACCCAGTCCAAGCCACGTTTGCCATCAGCTCTTTATCTGAGCTCTGACAAAGGKCAGGGGATTTGAGCAGTTATTTACTGTGCACATCAACAGCCTGTCCACAGCCACGATTTCACAGCGAAAGAGCTGCTGAATTTCTGGCAAAAGAAGCAAAGTCTGTCCCCATCACATCCCCTGGACAAATTAATAGTTAATTTAACACAAATTAATAGTTAATTGAACACAAATCAATAGTTAATTGAACACAAATTAACAGTTAATTTAACACAAAATAATAGTTAATTGAACACAAATTAATAGTTAATTTAACACAAATTAATAGTTACCTGCAGCTTTATACAGAGCTGTCAGAGAGCTCTTCAGAGCTCTCAAAGGACAGTTTGTACTAACACAATCCCTCACTGATATGAAGATTTGGCTCACGTGGAGGGAGGGATTTTTCAGCTCTTTCTCCTTTGCACTCTCTTCAAAGAAAGGAACTTTTGCTCATTTTACCAAACTCTGTCCAGCCCTCAGTGGAACTGCACACACAGAGCAACTGCACATTGTTTTAAGTGTGTCAAGAGCAATTTCATGCAGGAATGCCCTTCTGTATTTCTTGCTTTACATTGCCGTGTCACCATGTATATTTTATAAAAATTTTTAGATATTTTTTTATATACACATATACATATATATATATATACATATATGCATATACTTAAATTTCCTAGCASCAGCAGAGGCTGGAGCAGACCTGTTTTCACCCATGCTGCTGTAAATCCCATCCCACCCCTAACTTTGCAGCGTCTCCCTCTCTCCTGGCTCAGTTTAAGGGAGGGTCAGTATTTGTGACTCTTATCAAACTCCAGATATCCCAACCACGTTCAGATATGGACCCAGCCACACTCATGACTGCAGCTCAGAACTGTCTGATGAGCTCACAATGACACAAAACCTGATCCAGACACGCCTGTCTACGCTTCCAAATTACCGGATTCATCAAAATCCAACATTTCTGAGATATCATCGCTGCTTACATCACCATGAAATAACCAAAACTATCTGAGTGGCCTGAYATGCCTCCAGTTTTCCCCAGGAAATGTGTCATTTCATCCTTCTGCACACAGCATGGACTTTGGATGGTTCAGGAGATGAGGGAAAAAGGAAACACCCTCTCCAAGCACACCAGAAAGGAGCGCCTCCCATTCTGACATCACCGTTTGCAGAAAAAATTCTACAATTGCATTGTATTGCCAGCTCGAGGAGCCACTCAAAAATTCAAAAATTTGTGTTAAATCCCTGAATAAAACCTTTTACAAAGTATAATTTCTTCAGGAGTCTGCTCAGCACTACAGACACTGGAATTCCTAGGACTGGTCCTCACAAAGAAATCATCCTCTGATCTTCCTAATAYATGACAAGAATTTCTTGCCATCCTTTATTGAATAAATCTAAGTATATGTGATACMAAATATTCTCCTATGAAAGGAAAAAAAAACCTGTGAGTTATCTTAAAATTGTGGCATATGTCACAATTGAAAAATTAACCATCTATGGAAAATACTGTCAGGTTTTGCTTCATCTTCATCACATGGCTCAACGTTTGGTGAAGAGGGCTATGAAATATGAGAGCGTTTCTGATTCAGATAAGTCATTTCTAGCATGAGGAAAGATCAGGTATTGTAAAAATGATGAATCCAGAGCTAAGACAGAGATCTACCCATGACCTGAGCCCAGATTGGGAAGTGTCTCAGCCACYCTGGTAAAATATTAACAGAGTCTGAGGGTTGTCATAGTAAAATCAGAGGTTGCCCCGAACATAATTTCATTTACAGACGTTCAGAAAATTGACATCACGGCTGCCAGGAGCTATAAAACCCAGCACATTTTGCATTTTGGATCGACTGACAGAGCATTGCACRGCCCCAGATCCTCTGACAGCACCGAAACACAACCTGGACTTTGCAAAGAGCACCGAGGAGCTCCTGTTTACAAACCAGCTCTGAGAACGCCTGGGAGATTTTATTCTGCTTTYAACTGCATTTGCAGTTAAATTCCTTTAAATTTGCAGTTTTAATTCCTTTCAAAGCCATGTGCACGGGAGGCTGTGCCAAATGCCTGGGCAGCACCCTCATCCCCCTGGCTGTGCTCTGCACCCTCGCCAACATTTTGCTGTTTTTCCCCGGAGGAAAAGTGGCCAAAGACARTGAACACATCACGACAGAGGTTTGGTACTTTGGAGGGATCTTGGGCTCGGGTGTTTTGGTGAGTACAGAAATTCAGATTCCAGCAATTCCTGCCCCCAGCACTGCTGGATTTTCTGGGGACTGCAAATTCCTCTTTGATAAGCAAATAAGTTATCCAAAGGTTTGGCAATAAGTAAATTAGCCTAAYGATAAGAAAAAACAAACACAGAGCTATTGTATTGAAAAGATGATGGAACCTGAATCCATCCCGATTCCAAGTGCATTTCTGTTACCTGCAGATGATCTTTCCTGCCCTGGTATTTCTGGGCCTTCAGAACAATGATTGCTGTGGATGCTGCGGCAACCGGGGCTGTGGACAGAGGTTTGCGGTGAGTCAAAGGAAATACGCTCAAAAAAGGAAAAACTAAATTATATTATATTATATACAAGCTAAATTATATTATATTATATTATATAAAAGCTATGTGATATTATATTATAGAAAAGCTAAATTATATTATATTATATTGTAATTGCTTATATGTACCTTCCTCTCACAGGAGGAACCCAGACAGATGTAAAATAGCAGCTGTAAAAATCACATTCTGCCTCTGATGTTTTACCACGGGTACCACAATGGCAATGCCTCATTGATTTTTGCTGTTACAGTTATTACCACAATATTATGGTTTTGCTATAGCTATTGCCACAATTAAAACTTCCTGCTGGAAGTTTTGTTTTGCAGAGTACAACAGCTCTATATCTTCAGCCCTTTTTTGTTGGCAGCTTTTAAAATTCCTCTGGCAGTCAGACATTTAATTCCCAGCTCACAAAATGGGCTGTGAGGATCTCTTTGGGGTCACAGGGAAATTCAGGAAGGAACAAACCTTAGGAGATCACCTAATCCAAGCTTCAAGCAGTGTAGACCAGGCTCCACTTTGAATTTATAGCTTCCTTTCACACCAGAAAAGTTTCAAAAGGATATTTTCAGACACTGGTAAACATCTGAGGCATTTTAGTTTTAAAACTAAATAAGAAAAAGATAATAGGAGCAGGAAAATGTGTCCTTTCAAAACAAATYGTTCAGATCAAGCAGATCTTTGTAATTTTTTAAAAGGAACAAATTTTCAACTGGGGAAAAAAAGGAGAAAAACAAATAGGAAAAGAATCTTTGCTGGCAGGCACGGCAGAGTGCAGCTGACTG